AGTTGCGAAATCCTGTCTACCACACTGTTGGTCAACAAGTCCGCGTCATGCTCGCTGGGCTCGTCAGGGACCTCCGCCTCGAGCCTCTGCTTGCATTTGGCACTGCGGTCTAACCCCATCACAGCGCAGGGGACTGCCGTGGCCTAACCCCTCGCCGCGCAGGGGTTCCTTGCGGTCTAACCCCTCGTCGCGCTGGGGAACGTCGCCGAAAAAAACTTACCCAGGTCCCGCTGCAGGTCTGGGTCGTCGTAGTCTGCCGTCGTCTCGGGCTGCGCGGTGGGCTGACCCGCGCTCTGCTGGATGTTCTGCTGGAGGTGTGTATCTCGCTGCTGGCCGACGCTTCACTGTTCTTCTCGGTCGAGGCTCTGTGCGTGGTTTCGGTGGGGGGTTCATCAGCAGCAAGGGGACGTGCTCCTCATGCGGGGCCAAGCGCCCCTGGTCCTGCAGCTCCCTCACTGTCCGTGCCAACTCCGCCTTTTGTGCCGCCTTCGGTGGTCGTTTGTAGCCAGGGTATCGCCCATCGCGTATCATGTTGAGCGCGTCCTGCCCGTACTTGGTGATCGTCTCGTCACACGGCTCTCTCAACCTCTGTCCGATGGTGGTGCCATGCGCCGCGCGCCGCGCGCAGAACAGCAGCCCATACCGCGCCCATTCACTGATCGCATTGCTCTGGTGCATCTTGCCATTGCCCATAAACCTGTCACCCTTGACCTCCACGATCTCGCTCGCCGCGCTGAACGTTGCATTGCACTCCGTCGTCGCGGACTCTTGCAGGGCGTCCGCTGCGATATACTGCCTGCGCGCTGTGCAAAACCACTTGTTCTTGAGCTTGACCGTGTCGTGTTGCTTGGCACTGCTAATGATCTATTGCTGCTTGTCGCGCTTTACCTTGGGCTTGGCCGTGGAGGGCCTCTCTGCACACCAGGGATCCATGCTAGCTGTGTCCGCCAACGCCTGCCGTGCTCGTAGTCTAACGTGTTCACAGATCGCGTCCCATTCGTCCGTGCGAGGTAGGGGCCTGCTGACTCTGTCCCAAGATGCCTCCGCTGCCACCGTCGCCAGAGCGTCTGCGAAGCTATTGCCCATCGCCAAGATCGGATTGATCAGCTCCGCCTCCTCCTCGTCCTGATGTGAGGGTGTCCACTCCACTTCGATCTGCCTGGGGTTCGTGTCCATGATCGCCCGCTTGATTCGTGCCCAAATGTCTGCATTTTTACCTCTACCTGGGTCGTGTGCTCTGCCTCTTGGCCACGCGTTAAGTAGTGGGTAATGGTCCGTGGCGTACACGGTGTCCCCTCGGGCTTCCTCTATCGCAATCGCGAAGGCCATGAGCTCAGCTCTCGGTACTGTTTGCCGCCGTCCTGGTAAATTTGCCATCGTACCTGCTGACATCTGCCACTTGCCACCGATCATCTTCATAGCAACCACACCTATGCCAACTCGCCGCCTGCGTGGGTCTGCTCCGTGAGCGCCCCCTGCTCCGTCGCCAAAAAGGTACAGACGCCGTCCTGGCACTCTTGCGTCCTCGTAATTGCCGAACCTGACGTAGTCCTGCCTATCTATGTCGGGCACCTCTGGATGTGTGAACTCTCTTGGCGGGATCCCACGCAGGCAAAGGGTGAGGTTCGCTTCCACTCCTGCCATTGCTTTGGGCACCAAGGAGTCCGTTTTCTCGTAGTTGTCGTGTCAAGCGTTGGCAGTACAAGTGTAGATGCGGTGGAAGAGGGTCTCGGGCTCCTGTTTGCACCTCGCGCAGATATTTGTGTCGCAGTCGCAGTTGGCTTGGATCTGTCTTTGCCGAGTCCATTGTCCCCCTGTTACCACCACGTTGTTGAGCGCCCAGTCCTGCCACTCTGCACGCTGGCTGAACCTTTTTCTGTTCCTTGCTGATATGCCAAATATCTCCTCCGCGTTGTAAATATTCGCCGTGCAAATGTGTTGCTGCTTGTGCCCACCGTGCCGCGTCAAGATCGTGCTCGAGGTCTTCAAGCAATTGAGTGTATTCTATGGCATCGATGTCGCACTTGCGGGTGTGAGCTATCAGGCCCTCGTCGGCGATGAGTGGGCGATTCGGGGTCGATGCGTACCCCCCGAAGCCTTCCGCCCCTCCACCCTACAATAGAAGCTCGACCACAAGAAACCTTCCACAAGCAGCCCAACCCCGAGACCCGAGGACGTCCATTGACGTCTGGCGTGGGAGCGCCACGCTCTCCATAGCAAAACCCTCGAAACCCAGGGCCCCCTTCGGTCGGGCGTGTCCCCCTACAGGCGGACTTGGAACGAACATGTAAAAAATAGCCAACAATGCTCAAACATAGCGAACTTTAAGAAAACATAGTCCTGATACTATTTTTGACTATTCTTGAATCTTCCCTCCTGTAGAGGGACAGGCCCGACTCAAGGGCACCCTGGAGGCACGCAGGGTGTTTCTTGGCACGGGCCCCCACTGCAAAGGTCAGGCGCCCGGCGGCGGCCCACCTCGGTGCGGGCCGCGTGGATGGAGACGGTGATGACGTCGTCGGCCCAGATGCCCAGCGGCTGCGGCACGCCCCACTCCCGGTACTTGGACAGGCCTTCCGCGGGAGCGGCGCGCCCTCGTCACCGCCGCCGCCGTGCTCCAGAAGAACAAAAAAAACACAATAAAACACAGACTGCTGGCGCTCCGCGTGGACTTCTTGGATCTGCGCAGGACCCCCTCCCTGGCGGCGCGGAGCGCGCCAGGGGCGGCGCCCGAGGCGCCGCCAGGGAGGCACAGCGCGGATCCAAGAAATCCGCGCGGAACGCCACATGTTTTATGTTTATGGTGTTTTTCTTCATCGATGCTCGTCGTCGGGCGGGGGAACCACATATAAGGCACCGACACCTCCGCTCCCCCCGGACGTCGCCCAAGGTGCGTCCCGGCCTGGATTCCGGGGCGAATCCGGCGGTTGCGACCAGGACCTCCCAGGAGGCCCAGGAAGGCAACATCGAGGCAGGGGCAGCGATGTGGGTGCTTTCCTCCTCCGAGCAACCGTTGGTCGTCGTCGATGTCGTCCGTCGTGGTTGGCGCGCCGTCGTCGTCGACATGCTCGTGGTGCCCGTATTAGGTCGGGCATGTCCTCTTAAGGAGGAATTTATACGAAAAGTGAAAATACATCAAGAGTGTTTCCAAATACTTAAACATCGTCCAAACATCATCCCCGGACAACTCCCCAGCCCTTCTGTGTTGGGTTATCGTTTGGAATAAATCAGTGTGGTCGTCCCGTCCTTCCTCCTTCCTCCTCCCCTCTCCTCCCTTCCTCCTTTTCTCCTGTTTCCAGTAGTCCCCTCTCCTCTTCTGTCGTGCCGTCGGGCTGCGGCGATCTGCGCAACCGTCGCCACTTTCGTGGGCTCTTGGGAGGCCCAGCGGAGGTACGTCCCACGCGGACCACCTCGGCACCTCGCCGCCCCCTGGGGGCTTGCAATCTGCGCAACCGTCGCCACTTTCGTGGGCTTTGGGGAGGCCCAGCGGAGGTACGTCCCACGCGGACCACCTGGGTACCTCGCCGCCCCCTGGGGGGCTTGCGATCTGCGCATTTGTCGCCACTTTCGTGGGCTCCTGGGAGGCCCAGCGGAGGTACGTCCCACGCGGACCTCCTCGGTACCTCGCCGCCCCCTGGGGGGCTTGCGATGTGCGCAACTATCGCCAGTTTCGTGGGCTCCAGGGAGGCCCAGCGAAAGTGCGTCCCACGCGAACCTCCTCGGTAACTCGCCGCCCCTTGGGGGGCTTGCGATCGCGCAACTGTCGCCACTTTCGTGGGCTCCTGGGAGGCCCAGCGGAGGTGCGTCCCACGCGGACCTCCTCGGTACCTCGCCGCCCCCTGGGGGGCTTGCGATTTGCGCAACTGTCGCCACTTTCGTGGGCTCCTGGGAGGCCCAGCGGAAATACGTCCCACGCGGACTACCTCGGGACCTCGCCGCTCCCTGGGGGGCTTGCGATCTGCGCAACTGTCGCTGCGCTCGTGGGCTCTTGGGAGGCCCAGGGGGGTGCGTCCCACGCGGACTACCTCCGTACCTCGCCGTCCCCTTGGGAGGCTTGCGATCTGCGCAACTGTCGCCACTTTCGTGGGTTCCTGGGAGGCCCATCGGAAATACGTCCCACGTGGACCGCCTAGGGACCTCGCCGCGCCCTGGGGGGCTTGCGATCTGCGCAACTGTCGCCACTTTCGTGACCTCCTGAGAGGCCCAGTGGAAGTACGTCCCACGCGGACCACCTCGGCACCTCGCTGCTCCCTGGGGGGATTGCGATCTGCGCAACTGTCGCCACTTTCGTTGGTTCCTGGGAGGCCCAGCGGAGGTACGTCCCACGCGGGCCACCTCGGCACCTCGCCGCCCCTTGGGGGGCTTGCGATCTGCGCAACCGTCGCCACTTTCGTGGGCTCTGGGGAGGCCCAGCAGAGGTATGTCCCACGCGGTGACCGGGTGGTGGGCCAGAGGCCACTGGAGTGCTCGTGGGGATATAGTGGTTGGCGGCTTTGGGGCCTCTTGGAAATAGCTTTGGGGCCCGTTGGAGGTCGTCTTCGGGCCTCTTGGGGGCTCTGGGGGGCCTCTTGGGCGCGAGCGTTCGCCTCGGAGGCGGGCGTTCGCGCAGGAGGCGAGCGTGCACCCTGGAAGTGGGCGTGGAGCCCGGAGGAGGTGCCCTGGGCGCTCCCACACCTGGAAGGGGCAAAAGAGGAGGTGCTCCTCTTGCGCACTGCGGGTCCTCCAGAATGCCAGTCAGCATCGAATGGTCCTGAGTAGAATGGCCACATGTCTAGACAGGATTGGGTACGTCACAGGGTAATGGTTGACAATGTGTTGCAAATTCCTCCTGTAGAGGGACACGCCCGACTTGCCAGGCTGCTACAACCCAGGGCGGATGTGGGTGGGGCGAAACGCGCCCAGGGCGAGATGCCGCCCGCCTGCCGCATCAAATACATGTGAAGTTGGCGCGCCGTCGTCGTCGACGTGCCCGTGGTGCTCATCGTCGGACTTCGGCAGGCCTTTTCCGGGAAGGCGGTCGGCGCCCGCGTCGCCGCCGCCGCCGTGCTCGTCGCCGAGGTCGTCCGCTGTGGCTTGCGCGCGGAAGGTTTAGGGTTTAGAGGGTTTCGGGGGCTTTTAGGGTTTAGGACTGTCGCCTTCCTCCTCCTCAGCGTCATCCGCTCCTCTCCATCCTTCTCCCTCCTACTCCTCCTCCTCCTCCTCCTCCTCCATCGCCCTCTTCCCCTCCCCCCTTTCTATGCATAAATCCTCCCTCTCTTCCTCCTCCTCCTCCTCCTCCTCCTCCTCCTCCTCCTCCTCACCCCGCTTCCTCCTCTTTCGTTATCCCCCCCTCCGCCCCCCTTTGGTCGAACCTCGTCGTTTTTGTCCCTCCTCGAACCTCGTCGCTCCTCCTGGCTTCTCCTCTCCCTCCTCCCCCCCCCCTGGTCCTCCACCTCCACCTCCTCCTCATCCTCCTCCCTCCCCCATCCTATTATTGTCATCCTGTACTGCCGTCTTCCCAGAATAATGGACAGCAGCAGGCTGTGTGAAGGGGGCGCGAAGAGGGCCTTCCTGACGCAAAGGGGCCGTACCAAGAAAAACAACACACAAAAACAAGACAAACAAGAATTACACTACCGTGGAACCCCACATACTGATGTAAGGTCGCGCGTGTTCACGCCTGCTGTGCCTGGACGACCGTCACGAATAGCGGCCGCGGTGAGAGACCACCCCCTATGGTCTCGAGATTATGCCATGCCTGCTGTGCCTGGACGAACGTCACGGATAGCGGCCGCGGTGAGAGATCATCCCTTGCGCCCCCCCTCTGGCGCCGCGAAATTGCCGCGCCTGCTAGGCTTTTCGACAGTGTCGTGGATAGCGGCCGCGGTGAAAGACCGCCCCTTGCGCACCCCCTCTGGCGTCGAGAAATTGCCGCGCTTGCTAGGTTTTTCGGCAGTGTCGTGGATAGCTGCCGCGGTGAGAGACCACTCTTGCGCACCCCCTTCGGGCGTCGAGAAATTGGCGCGCCTGCGAGGCATTTCGGCAGTGTCGTGGATAGCGGCCGCGGTGAGAAACCACCCCCTGCGCTCCCCCTCTGGCGTCGAGAAATTGCCGCGCCGCGCGTCGTGGATAGCGGCCGCGGTGAGAGACCACCCCCTGCGCACCCCCTTTGGCGTCGAGGAATTGCCGCGCCTGCGATGTTTTTCGACAGTGTCGTGGGTAGTGGCCGCGGTGAGAGACCACCCCCTGCGCACCCCCTTGGCGTCGAGGAATTGCCGCGCCTGCGAAGCTTTTTCGGCAGTGTCGTGGATAGCGGCCGCGGTGATATATATATATATATATATATATATATATATATATATAATAACTGCGCACCCCCTGTGGCGTTGAGAAAATTGCCGCGCTGCGAAGCTTTTCGGCAGTGTCGTGGATGGCGGCCGCGGTGAGAGCCCACCCCCTGCGCACCCCCCTTTGGCGTCGAGAAATTGCCGCGCCTGCGGCTTTTCGACAGTGCAGTGGATAGCGGCCGCGGTGAGAGACCACCCCTGCGCACCCCCTCTGGCGTCGAGAAATTGCCGCGCCTGCGAGGCTCTTCGACAGTGTCGTGGGGGTGGCCTCGGTGAGAGACCACCCCCTTACCCCCTCTTCCGTCGAGAAACAGTGTGGTGGATAGCGGCCGCGGTGAGAGACCACCCCCTGCGCACCCCCTCTGGCGTCGAGAAATTGCAGCGCCTGCCAGGCTTGTCGACAGTGTCGTGGATAGCGGCCGCGGTGAGAGACCACCCCCTGCGCACCTCTCTGGCGTCGAGAACCAAGGTCGTGGATAGCGGCCGCGGTGGGAGACCACCCCCTGCGCACCCCCTCTGGCGTCGAGAAATAGCAACGCCTGCGTGGCTTTTCGACCGTGTCGTGGATAGCGGCCGCGGTGAGAAACCACTCCCTGCGCACCCCCTCTGGCGTCGAGAAATTGCCGCGCTGCGAAGCTTTTCGACAGTGCCGTGGGCTGCGGCCGCGGTGAGAGACCACTCTTGCACACCCCTTTCGGGCGTCGAGAAATTGCCGCGCCTGCGAAGCATTTCGACAGTGTCGTGGATGGCGGCCGCGGTGAGAAACCACCCCCTGCGCACCCCCTCCGGCGTCGAGAAATTGCCACGCTGCGACGCGTTTCGACAGTGTCGTGGACCGTGGCCGCGGTGAGAGACCACCCCCTGCGCACCCCCTCTGGCGTCGAGAAATTGCCGCGCTGCGAGGCTTTTCAACAGTGCAGTGGATAGCGGCCGCGGTGCGAGACCACCCCCTGCGCACCCTCTCTGGCGTCGAGAAATTGCCGCGTCTGCGTGTCTTTTCGACAGTGTCGTGGGGGTGGCCGCGGTGAGAGGCCACCCCCTGCGCACCCCCTCTGGCGTCGAGAAACAGTGTGGATAGCGGCCGCGGTGAGAGACCACCCCCTGCGCACCCCCTCTGGCGTCGAGAGATTGCAGCGCCTGCTAGGCTTGTCGACAGTGTCGTGGATAGCGGCCGCGGTGGGAGACCACCCCCTGCGCACCCCCTCTAGCGTCGAGAACCAAGGTCGTGGATAGCGGCCGCGGTGAGAGACCACCCCCTGCGCACCCCCTCTGGCGTCGAGAAATTGCCGCGCCTGCGTGGCTTTTCGACAGTGTCGTGGATAGCGGCCGCGGTGAGAGACCACCCCCTGCGTACCCCCTCTGGCGTCGAGAAATTGCCGCGCTGCGAGTCTTTTCGACAGTGCCGTGGGCTGCGGCCGCGGTGAGAGACCACTCTTGCGCACCCCCTTCGGGCGTCGAGAAATTGGCGCGCCTGCGAGGCATTTCGACAGTGTCGTGGATGGCGGCCGCGGTGAGAAACCACCCCCTGCGCACCCCCTCTGGCATCGAGAAATTGCCGCGCTGCGAGGCTTTTCGACAGTGTCGTGGGTAGCGGCCGCGGTGAGAGACTACCCCCTGCGCACCCCCTCTGGCGTCGAGAAATTGCCGCGCTGCGAGGCTTTTCGACAGTGTCGTGGATAGCGGCCGCGGTGAGAAACCACCCCCTGCGCACCCCCTCTGGCGTCGAGAAACAGTGTCGTGGGTAGCGGCCGCGGTGAGAGACCATCCCCTGCGCACCCCCTCTGGCGTCGAGGAATTGCCGCGCCTGCTAGGCTTTTCGACAGTGTCCTGACGCAAAGGGGCCGTAGCAAGAAAAACAACAAACAAAAACAAGACAAACAAGAATAATCGGCGCTGGCGGACGACCCAGGCGAGGGCGATGACGATGGAGACGAGAATAAAGCCACAAATGCAGCCGGACCTAGGACAGAAGAACATCCTACAAGATAATGAAACCCTCAGCCGGCCAACACACCCCAAACCATGCAATACTTGGAGGGTATCCTTCCCCAGGATGCACACTAGCATGCGAAGAACATCAGGGTACCCTTCCCGAACCGACCTCGATCTTGTAATTACCTCGGTCCGACTGTGCTCCGAATTGTTCAATAAACTCATCCTCCTCCTCCTCCTCCTCCTCCTCCTCCTCCTCCTCCTCCTCCTCCTCCTCCCCCAATGCTGCTCCACCCGACGACCCATGCCGACCCCCCCTCACGCGCAAGGACCTCATCCCCTGATGCGATCCAACCTCCCACGCCCAGCGAATGGCTGCCTCCTCCTCCTCCTCCTTCTCCTCCTCCTCCTCGTCCTCCTCCTCCTCCTCCTCCTCCTCCTCATCATCATCATCATCATCATCATTACCATCACCATCATCAGCATCATCATCATCAGCATCATCATCATCGTCATCATCAGCATCATCATCATCATCACCACCATCATCATCATCATCATAATCAGCATCAGCAGCATCAACACCAGCATCAGCATCAGCATCAGCATCAGCAGCATCATCATCATCACCATCACCATCACCATCACCATCATCAGCATCATCATCATCATCGCCATCATCGCCATCATCATAATCATCAGCATCAGCATCAGCATCAGCATCAGCATCAGCATCAGCATCCTAATCATCATCACCACCACCATCCCCATTAGCATCACCATCACCATCACCATCATTTGCATCATCCTCAACATCATCATCAGTATCATCAGTATCATCAGTATCAGTATCATCATCATCATCATCATCATCATCATCATCATCATCATCATCATCATCATCATCATCATCATCATCATCATCATCATCATCATCATCATCATCATCATCATCATCATCATCATCGTTATCATCATCAGCATCAGCATCAGCATCAACATCAGCATCATCATAATCATCATCATCAGCATCTTCCTCCTTCTCCTCCTGCTCCTCCTCCTCCTCCTTCTAACTCCTCCGCCCCCCAGGGATTGATGTTGTGCTCTTTCGGGCAACGGAGGCGGGAGGGAGGCGATCGACGGAGGCAGGGAGGAGTAGGGAGGGAGGAGGCATGGGAGGAGTACGGGGGAGAGAGAGGGGGCCCAGGGAGGGGGAGGTGACGGAGGAGAGGGGAGAGACAAAACAAAAGAACAACGGCATAAAACACAAACACTTGGCGCTCCGCGCGGATTTCTTGGGGATCTGCGCCGGACCCTCCTCCCCTGGCGCGCGGAGCGCACCAAGGGCGGCGCCGGAGGCGCCGGGGGGGGGCCCGGCTCGGGCGCGGATCCAAGAAACCCGCGCGGAGCGCCAAACGTTTATGTTTGTTGCAATGTTTCTTCGTCGAGGAACGGAAGGAAGAGCGAGCAAGAAGAGACGGGAGGAACGGAAGGAGGAGCGACCGTGACCTTCCAGAGTGCTAAAGCATATCCCCACAGACCTATAGACCAATCTTCGGCGGCGACGATAAGGGCAAATAGCCCAAGTGCGGGCATTATACATATTCGCCAAGGATTCTTGTCGAAGGCATAAATCATCGGCGCCCCTGGATAATGTATTGCTCTCCCCTGGGCTATTCGCCCCTGTCGTCGCCTCTGAGATCTGGACTGCTTAAAGCTTCGACTGGACTCCAGATGTCGAG